GACCGTGACAGAGAACCCGGGTGCCCATCACAGACCGTGACAGAGAATCCGGGTACCCATCACAGACCGTGACAGAGAACCCGGATACCCATCACAGACCGTGACAGAGAACCCTGGGTACCCATCACAGACCGTGACAGAGAACCCTGGGTACCCATCACAGACCGTGACACAGAAATTGTAGTTATACAGCATCAGATATATGGTCAGCTACAAATGTGTCGTAAGGAAATGCAACAAAAGGATTTCCATTTTATTAGTAACAATAGGTCCATCGTGTTTCACATTTTTAATCCCGCAAGGGATTGCGCTAACAGCTTTTCCTATAATTTGTAGAAAATCCTATAAAAATGATGTTCATACAAACCTATATTTTCCTTTATATTCGCTAAGGACCATTATGAGGCCTGATTGTAAAGATTAGAAAAGTTATAATTCATTGAAAGTATGATGTTTTCAGTATGTATTCTTGTATTGTCAATCTTCTGCTTATATAAAGTATGTCAGAGTTCTTTTTTTTGGCAGTATGATGCTTAAGTTTTTTCTCGAGAGTGCAATCAACTGTTTTAAATATTTCTATAGTAAATATTTCGTTGCAAAATAATATGTCATTATATTCATTGTAATGTGTTATGTCTTACTAAAAGACAATATTAGGTTGAGGAAAAAGTTCGTGCGCCGTGTTATTAATATTTTATAAAAAGCTTTAGGAAATTTTTTCTCTATATATTCTGATAGTCCAAGTCGTGCTCTGTAATTCTACGATATTTCATAAATCTTCAAAGGATACTATAATATTGAAAATATAGCAAAAACAGTGAGTAGCTTACAAAAAAAAATTTTTGCCTAATTTTTGATCGATTTTCTCTTGAATAGTCAGGCTTGTGATCGAAAAAATAAAAATATTTGAAATCAGCACAAAAAACTGAGTCGATGTATGTATGTTGCAAAATGCTTCATCGACTTTCATTTTCGTCGGAAAATTCTGACGCATCCCTGAGGAGACCATAGCTGAATTTTCCGACGAAAATGAAAGTCGATGAAGCATTTTGCAACATACATACATCGACTCAGTTTTTTGTGCTGATTTCAAATATATTATTTTTTTTCAATCACAAGCCTGACTATTCAAGAGAAAATCGATCAAAAATTAGGCAAAAATTTTTTTTTTGTAAACTACTCACTGTTTTTGCTATATTTTCAATATTATAGTATCCTTTGAAGATTTATGAAATATCGTAGAATTACAGAGCACGACTTGGACTATCAGAATATATAGAGAAAAAATTTCCTAAAGCTTTTTATAAAATATTAATAACACGGCGCACGAACTTTTTCCTCAACCTAATAATATATTCTTATGATATTTTGTCGATTATCTTAAGAATATACTCAACTAAGAGAAATATATGTAGTGCTGCAATCTGGTTACGATAGATGTCAGAAGATATTGATGAAAAATTCAAGACAATATGATTGGAATGATTTCATCTTCTCATTTCTGCACGTAGATTATCTATCCAATATCCTATATCATATTTTGCATATATTTCGAATACAGCTTAATTAATTTTATTTTCTGATTCTGTACAAAATCTCGTGCAATGAAATGTAAAAAGATAACGTTTTGCATAAGCCTCGATAGCTTAAAAGCATTTATATGCAGTAATTATAGTTCTTTTTTATTTTATATGAGATACTTTATTTTTTTTTTGTCTTATAACGAACTACATTTCTCTATATTTTCTTTCAAGATGAAACGTGGAACATTAATACTTGAAGATGGATCTGAATTTGATGATTTTGTATTTGAAGCAAAAACAAATACTGCCGATAAAGTCGGTAAGACTCTATTAATATTATTTAATTTCTTCTTTTGTTTTGTTTTTTTTTATTTATTGTTACTTCTATTTTGTCTTTCAAACTGGTATAGTTGGTTATATTGAATCATTAACTGATCCATCTTATTGTGGAGAAATTCTAGTTCTTGCTTTTCCACTTATCGGCGATTATGATTTGTTCATTATATTTTTGTCTTTGAATATTTATTTTATATTTAAAATGTTTAAGGTGTGCCCGATGAAAAAGCTGTTGATGGCTTTGGTCTACATCGATGGGTTGAATTAAATAAAATTTATGCATCAGCATTAATTGTTAGTGCTTATATGGAACAGTATAGTCATTGGAATGCTGTTGAATCTCTTTCATCATGACTCAAAAAACATAATATTCCAGACCTTTATGGTTAATCTTCTTTTTATTGTTTATAATTACATGATAATAATTATTTTTATTTTAGGAATTGATACACGTATCTTAACTAAAAACTTCATGAACATGGAACAATGCTTGAAAAAGTATAATCTTCTTATTTTCCTACTGTTTTTTGTTTTGTTTTACTACATCAATTATGAATAGATTGTTATGAAAGGAACTGATCCAAAATTGATTCCATTTCCAGATCAAAATAAAGTTAACCTTATGATACAAGTTTCTATTCAGGTAAATAAATTCTTTTATCTTTTTTGGTTGTTTATTTATTTATTTATTTATTTTTATTGAATTATTAGAAACCACATGTATTT